CGTGAACTTCCCGCGAACGGTTCACCAGTAGTCAACCTTTTAATACCTACCGCCCACTTTTGTAGCTTCGTTGATGATGGTAAAATTTTCTTACTGCCCACCAGTGTCGCAGTAACTAATTTTATAGCGCAAGTGCGATTCATTTGTAAAAAAATTTTTTTTTTTTTTTTTGAAAGGTGTATTATTTATTTTTTTCAAATATGGACTTAAATTTATTGTATTCTATTCTACTTTTTAAGTTGCTTTGTGTAGATAAGGGGTGCAGTGTGTGTTAGTCATTCTGCGTGTGTAAGGGGGGGGTAGTGCATGTGAAGGGAGAAGTGTGTGTGTCTGTGTGAGAGGACAGTGTGTGTGAAGGGTGTAGTGTGGATTTGTCTTTGAAGGGTGCATAGGGTCTATGCTGTCTGTAGGTGGGTGAGATGTAAAAATCTATCTTACTGTCTCCCCCTCCCTTCTTCTTACATTTTACCGGGGAGGGAGGGCATAATGCTGCAAGTCCTGGTGGTCCAGTGGTGGCATGTTCACTTTATCCTGCAGCTCCTCTGGCTGCAGGCTGACTCTCCTGTCCTCCTGCAAGCACAGATCAGAGCATTGCCATGAAAACACGCTGCAACCAGCCTGCTCGCAGGAGGAACACAAAGCCTCCCAGGCTCTTCACTCCCTCTGCTGGAGATAAGTGCCAGCGGGCTGTTGATTGAGATCTTTGATCTCCTCACCAGCCCAAGAGGGCTTACAGCAAGGCTGGCTCAGCATGGGCCGGCAGGGGAGACAAAATGATCTACCCTGCCAGCCTTGGTCCACGGTCATTTTCTGCAGAACCCACCACCTCCCAACTGAAATCCCAAACCAGCCACTAGTGGGCGGTAGGGACCAGGTTGACTACCCCTGCTCTAAAGTGAAATGTGGTATTTTAGAAAATGGTGACTATCTGTTCTAATAAGAACTAATGGTGACAGGTGGTGAGCGCTAAAATAAGGTTAAGCAAACAGTCAAGATGAAAATTGAACATAATAGACATTCCAGTCATATAGGCTTAGATGTATGATGGTAAAGTAAGATGCTTCTACTTGGGTGGATAGGATATCCTCGTGTATCAAGAGACAATAAAGAAGGGAAGGGGAATACAGCCAATCCTGGTGCATTAACTCTTAAAATACAAGAGTGAGTAAAAACACACGGTGGCCTCTCACCTTCTTAGACTTGGCACCTAGTATAGCAGCATGGAATATCGAAACTTAGACTGCATGAAGACTCGTCAGATAACAGCTGGAAAGTTATACACCCATCACAAACAACGCTCGTGATTGGTAATATCACGGGCGTTGTTGAACCAATCAAGGGACTTGGTGAGATATTTAAACCTGGAAGCAGCAGATCTCAGAATACCAATTGATAAAGCCGGAACGGCGAAACACGTTTCGAAAGGAACATCTTACTTTACCATCATCCATCTAAGCTTATGTGATTGGAATGTCTATTATGTTCAATTTTCATCTTGACTGTATAGCTTAACATTTCAAGGTAATCTTTAAAGCTTATTTTAGCGCTCACCACTTGTCACTATTAGTTCTTATTAGAACAGTCACTATTTTCTATTTATCAAAATAGGGTGGAGAGTACCTATATTGTGGTCTTGCTGCTTACAATAAAATATCCACTTTATTGTATATAACTACTATACACTTTGTTGCACTTTATTGTGTGTATATATAAGCAACTTGAGCACAGAGCAATTTGTGTATTATGTGGTATTTTAACTTTAACCAGTGTTCATATTATTTATTTTAAACTTCCCTGTGTGAAGGAAGGAGCTTAGAGGCTGGAAACAATTGAGACTTGAGATAGGTCTTTTTCTAAAACTGAAAGTGGTTATACCTTGACTAAATAAAGCTACATCTTATCAGCAATTGAGTGCCTGAACCTCTGTTTGCCTCCACCATTGTTTCAATAGTGATAGAGACCTTAATTTCAGGACCACTTTTACTAAAATAACACCAGATGTTTGTGGGAATATCTATAGGTGTCTTGAGGTGATCTAGTGCAGTGTTAGTTGGCCTTTGGAACTCCAAATGTTTTAGACTACATCTTAACTGATGCTTTGCCAGCATTATAGGAGATATAGTCCACAACACCTGGAGTGCTGAAAGTTGCTTAGCCCTGGAATAGTGCAATGGAGCAATCTGCCCTGTAGATGCTCTGTAGGTCAGGTAAAAAAAGTTTACCTATCCTCTATCTGCATTTTTTGAATGATTGAATATAACCTGCAAATTGATGCCTGTATCCACTCAACAGAACAGTAATTATTCTGAGATCTTTGAGGCTAGGGTCCTGGTTATAGTTGACAGGGTTTCCAGGCTTTATGCCGTAAATAAAATCTGTGTCTTTTTAACACTTTAAAAAAAATAAAAATAAAGCATCTTGTCACACCATTCTATTTGATATTGTTGGTGGTATGTGCTATCCCACACCCACCTATCCTATGGATTGCATTAAGACTGTATTTATGTTTTCTTCCACTGGCAGTGATATAATGCACACTAGTTTTATTTTCTCCTGACATGATCACCGAACAAGGACATCCTCATCAGAAGCAGCATACTGACTACCCTAACACTTTTGCTTAAAAAAAAAACAACAAAAAAACAAAAAAAAATGGCTAGGTTATAAGGTAAATTAAAATCCGAAAATCAGTTTTGCATTTTTACCCATTAAAATAAAGGGCAGCCGAGCCAGAACTTTTGAGAGTAACATCCTCACTAGTTTACTTTTAGCTGCACTTCACCCACAGTATTATGACTAACCGTTTTATATTGTAACCCTTCTTAAAACTAAAACAAGACCAAGCTAAACTTCTTATGTCCTCACTGGCTTCGTCATAGAATCTGAATGTGTTTCTTATAAAAATATTTCTTTTTATATATACTAAGATAGCATCTCATGTTATTTGAAAAATTACCACGGTAAAGGTATGGAAATCAAATTCACTGGTCTGTAATATACATGTTTTTACCGAATGACTTAATTCGCAATGTTCACAGGTCAGATGTAAGGTTTAGTTTAATTTTACCAAGATCCAAGGGTATTATTTTACTTCATTTTGTGTGACATCACTTTTCCTTTCAGAAATTTATAATGCATGACATATTGATGATTTTGGCTGATTCTTTTGTATTACCAGAGTAGCGGACAAGTGAAAACGGAAGAGCTCAGCTGTCCTCCGTTAAAAAAAAAAAAACTCCCTTAAATATGAGAATTTAAAGTAATATTAATACAGGAGCCCAAACAACAATATTAAAGTTTTTAATTAAATATAATCATAAAAGGCTAGAGGCAGGCTATGTTCCCCTTATATTGCATCAGGATACCACACAGAAACATCCAGGGTTAAAACTTGGAGTCCCTACCCTTCAAATATATTCCCAATTGGAAAGTAAACGTGTCTTTTCCAACAGTCTAAAACAGTCTCCCAGAGTCCCAGGGGATAGATATTTTAACTTACAGAATGTCGGGCCAATTCCATTTATATATTAACAAGCACAATACGATAATTTTAGTAGTATGAAGCAATCTCTCTCCCTCTCCCTCTCCCTCTCCCTCTTAAAGGGATAATTAATTTAAAAAGTGATCTGGGTATCGATAGTCTTTTTAAAGAGCATTGTTAGCTTTCC